AAAACCCAAAAAAGATGAGGGTTGGAGAGCTGCCAAGTTGGTGAACACACGGAGGTGCAGGGAGAGGACAAGAAAGCTCCACATCCCCCTTCCCCAGTACTTTGCCTGGTGCAACTCTTCCATCTGACTATTTTTGAGTTTATCCTTCATAATAAACTATCCAATGTAAGTAAAGTATTTACTTGAGTTCTGTGTGCCATCCTAGGAAATTATTGAGCCAAAGGAGGGAGTCATAGAAACAGTTACAGTTGGTCTGTTAGAACTACAGGAGGCCTGGTGATTGGCATCTGGAGTGTGGGCAGTCTTGTGGAATTGAGACCTTCAACTTGGGGATTAGGTAACTGGTAACTCTGGGCAGAGTGTCAGAATTGATTTCAATTGCAGGACTCCCAGTTGGTATCTACCAAGAATTGGAAAACTGGTTGGTGTGAAAGAAATCCCCACGTGATTGGTGTAAGAAGTGAAGTGTTCTTGTCTAATCACAGTTGCACAAAAAATAATAAGTGAAGTGTTGTAAGTGTAAAAAAAAAAAAAAATGTGGGGACAAGGCATGGCGGCTCACACATAATCCTAGCAATTTGGAGGCCAAGTCGGGCAAATTGCTTGAGCTCAGAGGGTCAAGACCAGCCTGGGCAACACAATGAAACCCTGTCTCTACCAAATATAGAAAAATTAGCTGAATGTAGACCAGGTGCAGTGGCTCACACCAGTAATCCCAGCACTTTGGGAGGCCAAGGCGGGGTGGATTACCTGAGGTCAGGAGTTTGAGACCAGCTGGGCCAACATGATGAAACCCCATCTTTACTAAAAATACGAAAAATTAGCCAGGTGTGGTGGCACACACTTGTGGTTCCAGCTACTCGGAAGGCTGAGACAGGAGAATCGCTTGAACCTGGGAGGCGGAGGTTGCAGTGAGCAGAGATGGCACCACCGCATTCCAGCCTGGCCAACAGAGTAAGACTCCATCTCAAAACAAAATAAAACAACAACAACAAAAACTCAGATTCTTTGCAAAAAGCCTGGAATAACTCCCTTTCAGTCCTGGACTATACTCATGATGATAAATATACCTTGATGTAACTCTAGGGTCCCAGGATTCACTGGCCCTTGAATGAAAAGAAAAGATAGTATGTTTTTTGTTTTGCAAATCACAGAACTTTATTAAGATGGAATTGCTGCCAATTACAGAGAAGCTATTTGCCTAAGCCAAAATCCATAAGGTTCACATGGACTTATAGTTACACAAATTAGAAACAAATGGTGTATTTAAAACCACAGGGAAATATCCTGATGCCGAAGTGATGAAGCTCGGGTAAAGGAGTCTGCATATTCATTTCAAGCTGTTAAAGGATTTGTGGGCCATGCAATGGTCCCTTGCACTAGAGAAGTCAAAGAGCTTTGTGCAATCCTCTCCTGTCTGTGATCTGGAGGACACATGCTTATCACAGGGCTCCAGCTGCTCTGAGACTTTACTCATCTTTTCAGCTGCATGCATCGCTCTTTCACTTTTGTTAGGAATTGACTAATTCCTCCTCTTCCTCTTCTTCCTCCTCCTCCTCCCTGGCATCTCTAGACTCAGCAGCATTTCTTACTCATCCTCTGATTCCATGTCCAGCTATGTTTCTGGATTCAACACTAGAAGCAACAGTGGCACCGACTCCACTTCAGGATCAAGAAGTATTTTTCTGGCCAGGTGCAATGGCTCACACCTGTAATCCCAGCACTTTGGGAGGCCGAGGCGGGCAGATCACAAGGTCGAGAGATCAAGACCATCCTGGCCAACATGGTAAAAGCCCATCTCTACTAAAAATACAAAAATTAGTTGGGTGTGGTGGCTCAAGCCTGTAGTCTCAGCTTCTACTTGGGAGGCTGAGAGAGGAGAATTGCTTGAATCCGAGAGGCGGAGGTTGCAGTGAGCCGAGATCATGCCACTGCTCTCCAATCTGGTGATAGATAGAGACTCCGTCTCAAAAAAAAAAAAAAAAAAAAAAAAGTATTTTTCTTTCTATCCATATATCCACCTTACATGGTCCCTCAACTCCCCAAACCCACTCTGCCTGCTCAGTCTCCTTCTTCCACATCCTTTCCCCAACCTAGCACTTGGTCGGCAACCCCTTCCTCAGTCCTCTGCCAAAGACCCTCTAACCAGTGCTTACCCTGTCTGTTCTCTTTCCTTACCCAAAGAAATACATGGAGTTTGGCCAGAATGGAAACAGAGGTATCAGTGAGAAAAAGGTGATTTGGCCAGGCAAGGTGGCTCATGCCTGTAATCCCAAAACTTTAGGAGGCCGAGGAGGGCAGATCATGAGGTCAGGAGATTGAGACCATACTGGCTAATACGGTGAAACCCCATCTCTACTAAAAATACAGAAAATTAGCTGGGCATGGTGGCATGCCCCTGTAGTCCCAGCTACTCAGGAGGCTGAGGCAGGAGAATTGCTTGAACCCAGGAAGTGGAGGTTGCAGTGAGCCGAGATAGTGCCACCGCACTCCAGCCTGAGTGACAGAGAAAGAGCAGGCCTAGGAATAGAGGCTTGTTCCTTTGGTTGCTTAAAATCTTTGCTGAAATATCACTTTTTCAGAGAAGCCTTCTCTAACCACTCTATTTATTTATTTTTTATTTTTTTTGGAAACAGAGTTTCATTCTTGCTGCCCAGGCTGGTGCAATCTCGGCTCACTGCAACCTCCACGTCCTGGGTTCAAGTGATTCTCCTGCCTCAGCCTTCTGAGAAGCTGGGATTACAGGCATGTGCCACCACACCCGGCTAATTTTTTGTATTTTTAGTAGAGACAGAGTTTCACCATGTTGGCCAGGCTGGTCTCAAACTCCTGACCTCAGGTGATCCACCCACCTCTGCTTCTGAAAGTGTTGGGATTACAGGTATGAGCCACTGCGCCTGGCCTATTTATTTTATTTTTTGCTTCAATCTGAGCACTCTGTTGCTCAGACTGAAGTGTAATGACACAATCACGGCTCATTGCAGCCTTGATCTCCTAGACTTAAGCAATCTTCCCGCTTCAGCCTCCCAAGTGGCTAGGACCACAGGCATAAGCCACCATGCCTAGCCAGACCACCATATTTAAAACTGGGGACCAGCCAGGCATGGTGGCCCATGCCTGTAATTCCAGCACTTTGGGAGTCCGGGGTGGGTGGATCACAAGGTCAGGAGTTTAAGACCAGCCTGGTCATCCAGCTATTTGGGAGGCTGAGGCAGAAGAATTGCATGAACCTGGGAGGTGGAGGTTGCAGTGAGCTGAGATTGCACCACTGCACTCCAGTCTGGGCAACAGAGCGAGACTCAGTCTCAAAAAAAAAAAAAAAAGCAACTGGGGACCATCGGCAATTCTCCTATGCTCCCTCTCCCCTGCTTTGTTTTCCTCCATAGGCACCTAGTGCCTTTAATATACTTATTTATTTGTATTGTCTGCCTTCCCCAATGAGATCAACCTTGAAGACAAGAGTTTTCATTTGTTGGGCCTAGAGGCATGCCTGGCACATAGTAAGCATTCAGCAAATGTTTGTTGAACGAATGTATGAATAAAGAAGTGAGTTTCTAGGCCGGGCGCGGTGGCTCAAGCCTGTAATCCCAGCACTTTGGGAGGCCGAGGCGGGTGGATCACGAGGTCAAGAGATTGAGACCATCCTGGTCAACATGGTGAAACCCCGTCTCTACTAAAAATACAAAACATTAGCTGGGCATGGTGGTGCGTGTCTGTAATCCCAGCTACTCAGGAGGCTGAGGCAGGAGAATTGCCTGAACCCAGGAGGCGGAGGTTGTGGTGAGCCGAGATCGCGCCATTGCACTCCAGTCTGGGTAACAAGAGCAAAACTCCGTCTCAAAAAAAAAAAAAAAAAAAAAAAAAAAAAGAAGTGAGTTTCTCCCAGCAGGCGCTGAGAACATTGGGAATGCTGGGTTGCAGCTCTCTCTGCAGCAGGAGAAGCCAACTGCAATAAAGGGAAGTCAAGAAGCCACAGTTCACTCCAGGATCTCCCCTACCTGCCTGGGTCAGAGAGAGGGCAGTGAGAAGTGAAAATTCCCAGCTACAGAAGAGGAAATATGTCAGGGGGAAGGGAGAAGGAAAGGTATCTTCATTAATGCCGGGGCAGGGTGGATGGTGCCCTGGGCAGGGAGTTTGGATAAGGACATCTCAATGAGGGAAATGTGCTGTCCTCACCTCCCCAAGAAGCGACTGGCCAAACAGAGTGGCAGAGGGGATAAAGGTTATGCCTAGGGAGGCATGTGTCAGAGGCTATTATCCATTCCAAAGAACCCACAGTGACCAGCACCACCATCGCACAAACACGCCTACATGCATGCACGCAGGCGCAATATGCAAACCTGATGTCAGCCTCACTTCCTGGCTCTTGTGTCCACAAATGCTGTTTAAGTATCACTTTCAGTTCCTCCAAAGAATCTACTTAAATTCTCAAATTCCTGATCTCTGTAGATTTTACTAAAGATTTCAAAGGACATAAGATGAGAGGGTTACACTGCACATCCTAAAGCAAACAAATTAAAATGTGTCATTAGACATTTCCATATTTCTAAGGGCCTCCTTGGAGCTTCCAGGCTGGGAGTGAGATGTCTTTCCCTTTCTAAACCCTGTACCCATCTTGTCACCCTCCTGGAGCTGCCAGCAGACTTGAGAGTCTTCTCCCACCTACAGAAGCAAGGAAATTCAGCCAGCCCTTTCTTGGCTTCCTATCCATACTTGCCTGCCCAGACTCATGAAAGGTCTTATAACTACCCGAATGTTGGACCTGTTCAAAAAGACCATTTGTTCCTGAGAATAAAATCCCCTGGTGTCTTCCTCACCTTTCTGCACACCTCCAGTAGCTTATCAAAATATTTCTTTCATGTACACACCGGGCTCTCATTTAAGAAGAATTTGGGAGAATGTTATTTTCTCATTTGCATTTCACACAGGGCTCCCCCTTCTTCCTGGGGTGCTAGTGTCAGCAGAACCTGATGGGGAAGTGAGGTCTGGGAGGCAGAGGAGGAAGGAATGAGGGGAAAGGGGAAGTTTGGGAGGATCTGAGAAGACTAGTAAGAGAGAAGAAAAGCCTGCAGACAGAGGCCTCCAGCTTGGTCTGTCTCCCCACCTCCACCGGCATCTGCTGAGCTATGAGCCAAACCAGGGATTTACAGGGTAGGGAGGGTGGGATAGGCAGGGGCATCAGATCGGAGGAAGGAGATGGACAGACCTGGGCTGTGGGCTAGGAGGGCAGTTGCCTGGCCTAGGCAGGCTAACTGTGAATGTCCCTGGGTTGGTGTCAGGGTAAGGTGAGGAAAGGAGGGATGAGGGCTGATTAATCCTTTTCCCCCTGACACAGGAGGAAAAGCTTTTGGACTGCTGAAGGCCCAGCAGGAAGAAAGGCTGGATGAGATCAACAAGGTAGAAGGAAGAACTAAGGGGGCAGAGCCTGGGGGATAGGGCGTGGATAGGGAGGGCCTACCCTGGCTCTTATTTTCCTCTCCACAGCAATTCCTAGATGATCCCAAATATAGCAGTGATGAGGATCTGCCCTCCAAACTGAAAGCCTTCAAAGGTGAGGGGAAGACTGTAAGGGTGGAGGCGGGGCCGGGGGTAGGAGGGTTGGGATTTCCACAAGAACAGGGCAGGGACAGCAGAGGCACAAAGTTTACTTTTGTGGTAGCAAGAGGGGAGCCTGCCTTTATTGCCCTCCTGCCACATACTGCAGTCGCTTTCCCAGACCTGCTCCTCTCAGCATCCCCACTAGCTCCTTAAACTCTAGCTGGCTGTCAACTCCCCAACCCTACTTCCTCTGCCTGCCCCTCCTCCTCCTTCCACATTGTCTCCTCTACCTAGCAGTTGGTTGACAACCCCTTCCTCAATCCCCTGCCAAAAACCCTCCAGTCATTGCTTACTCACTCTGCTCTCTCCCCTCATTCAGAGAAATACATGGAGTTTGACCTTAATGGAAACGGCGATATTGGTGAGAAATGGGTGACTGGGGCGGGGGGGTGGGGAGTGCAGGCCTAGGAAGGCAGAGGTCTCTCCTACGTGCTCCAATCCTCATCATTTGGGAGGGGGCCCACCTACCAGAGTGGCAGGAAGAAGAATGGGGATGTGGAAGTGGGAAAGGAAAGAGAGAGTCTCCCTACCTTCTCTGCATCCCCATCCTCTGCCCCCAGATATCATGTCCCTGAAGCGAATGCTGGAGAAACTTGGGGTCCCCAAGACTCACCTAGAGCTAAAGAAATTAATTGGAGAGGTGTCCAGTGGCTCTGGGGAGACATTCAGCTACGCTGACTTTCTCAGGATGATGTTGGGCAAGAGATCTGCCATCCTAAAAATGTGAGTGTCAAGTCCCAATCTCCCCTATACTTACCTGTCTTCTCCTCCCCGACCCCTACCCTTGTCCCCAGGCTCAACTTTTCTACACTTTGCTCATCATCCATTCTTCCATCCTTAGAGGGACCCTTCCAAGGTCCTGTCCCCATCCCTATCCATAATCCTGGTCCCCACAGCCCCAGAACCTCCCATCCCTGCCCTTCCTCCTTCCCTTTCCACCTTTACATGTCATCCCTTTCAGCCTTTCCCAGTAGCCTACGATTTATTCCCTTGAGAAGAGTGTTCCCTGATCCCTGTGCCTCTTCCCATCTCAACCAGGATCCTGATGTATGAGGAAAAAGCAAGAGAACAGGAAAAGCCAACGGGTCCCCCAGCCAAGAAAGCTATCTCTGAGTTGCCCTGATTTGAAGGGAAAAGGAATGTGGTGGGATTGAAGGGGGTTCTAATGACCCAGATATGGAAACAGAAGACAAAATTGTAAGCCAGAGTCAACGCATTAAATAAATTACCCTTCCTCTGCATGTCAAGTCAGCTTAGTTTTTATTTGGGGAATTTTTTTTCCTTGGTTTGGGAAGGAGAGACAGGTCTTGAGGGAAAGGTGGCAAGGATTTGCCCATATGAACAATCCACCAACAACACTGTAATGTGTCCACTATAGCAGATGGCTTCATGCACCAAGGGGGATTCCAGCTGTATAAGGCAGCCTTAACCTCAAGGAATGCAGGCAGGATGAAAAGACATGTCCAGTGTACCCAGGCCCATGACAGCTTTCATGAAGAGCAAGGAATACCTTGAACCAACATTCTCCGCCACTTTAAGCTTTGTCACTTTGACAAATCACTCAGCTTCTGTGAGTCTTTTCTCTGAAAATGGGGATAAAGTGACCTATGCTGTTGTACCTGACATATCACAAGCCCTCAATCATGTTTAAAACCTGAATGAATGGGTGGATGAATAAAAGAACTGGTGTTACTGAATAAAATAAAGAATTTACGGCTGAGCATGGTGGCTCACGCCTGTAATCCCGACACTTTGGGAGGCCAAGGCAGGCGGATCACCTGAGGTCAAGAGTCCAAGACCAGCCTGGCCAATATGGTGAAACCCCATTTCTACTAAAAAATACAAAAATTAGCTGGGCATGGTGGCTCATGCCTATAATCTCAGCTACTTAGGAGGCTGAGGTAGGAGAATTGCTTGAACCAGGACCCGGGAGTCAGAGGTTGCAGTGAGCTGAGATTGCACCACTGCACTCCAGCCTGGGCTACAGATCAAGACTCCATCTCAAAAAAAAAAAAAAAAAAAA